GCCTTGTAACGCTTTGCTGGTAAAGTACACTGGTGTCTGCCTGTCTGGTGTCTCGCGGACGAGGGCCAAGACGGCCAGATAAAGGAACACAGTTTCCTAATTCTCTGGTCGCGATAACACAGAAGGTTGTGTAAGGCTTAGCTTGAGGTGAAGGAGGGCTTACTCACACTCCTTGGTTCACTCGAAATCTGCCTCTTTACGTAGGAGTTTGAAAAACTGAAATGCATGTTGCGCGGACTTTGCCACGAAACGGGAAAGCGAAGTGAGCATACCATTTAGGAATTGTATGTATTTTTTCGAGCTTGGCATGGAGAGCTTGGAGAATGCTCGACATTTATCAGGGTTGGCCTCAATTCCCCGTTCGGTCAGATAGAAACTGAGGTATTTTCCCACCTTGACCCCAGAGGTGCACTTCTCCGGGTTGAATCTCATTTTGCATTGCCTTGCTTGGGCGAACACTCTTTTGAGGTGGATAACATGTTCGGTTTCTGCTTGAGATTTGATGATCATGTCATCCATTTATACTTAGAGCATGTCCCCGATCTCCCCACGGAAGACTTTATTCATCATCCGATGGTATGTTGCTCTTGCATTTTTTAGGCCGAAGGGCATTACGTTGTAGTAGTAATTGCCTGACCCAGTCATGAAGGCGGTGCAATGTTTGTCGCTCATCGCCATGGGTATTTGATTATAGCCTGAGTAGGCATCCATAAATGACAAAATTTTGTAGTCGGCTTAGTTGTTGGCCATCATGTCGATGTTAGGTAAGGGAAAAGCATCTTTGGGACATGCCCAATTAAGATCAGTATAGTCAACACACATACGCCATTTTCTATTATTTTTCTTAACAAGTACAACGTTTGAGAGTCGGGTTAAATATTGGGCCTCACAAATAAAATTTGCCTCTAGGAGGTCTTTTACAATGTTTACGCAGCCTCCGCTTTTTTGGAAGACTTCCTACGCCTATGTTGTACTAATTCCCTAGCGGCCGGATCCACAACAATTTGGTGACAGGCGACCTCGGGGTCGAGGTCGGGCATCTCAGCGGCGCTCCATGAGAACATGTCAGCGTTCTCCCTCAAGCAGGCTTTGATTTGTCTCCTTGCTAGGTCGGGGAGTCTGACACCGATCTTCACGCCTTTGTTAGGGTCTTTGCCGAGGGGGTTGAACTCAAAGTCTCCGTCTGGTAAGGGTCAGAGAGGATCCTGTTTGCTATTGGGGGCTTCAATTTCATCTCTGTCAAAACAGGTGTAGAGCATAATGGATTCGACCTTTGGTGGAGCATTTTGTTCTTAGACTCGAGAAGGTTTGTCTGCAAAGATAACCACTATTGTCGAGGTGGTTTCTCTTTTAGTAGGTCATGCGCCAGTGTCAACCGTGTTTTTCCATTTGGAAGCCGCATTGAAACATCTCCTAGCAGCTAAAATGTATCCATGGATGGTAGCGACGCGGACCCTCTTGGTGTAGAACTTCATCTTTAAATGCATTGTAGAGGAGACGACGGTCAGCTCGACCAGTATTAGTCTCCCCAGGATGCAATTGTAGAGAGACATGCAATCGATCATTAGAAACCGCACTTTGACCTTTCGGGATGCAGTTCCTTCCCTGGGTGGGACAAAGAGCTCGACATAATCCCATGGCTTAGAGGTCGAACCGTTAAATCCTTGTAGGTCGGATCCCATGTATGGTGGCGGATGAGTATCGTCAAGCTGTAGGGTGCGGAGCAGGTGAGTGTATATGACATCGACAAAACTCCCCCTTGTCGACCAGGATGCGATGTACATCAAAGTTGTCCATCTTTTCCCTCACCACCAAATGAATACATGAGTTTGGGGCTCCGTCGGGCAGCTCCTCGAGGTAGAAAGTGATCGGCTCAGATTTTCCTTTGAATCTTTCAAGGGTTACAGCCTAGATCGGGGCTGCATATACCGGCTCGTTGGGTTTCCTCTTTGCTGAATTTACCGAGATATCGTTGAATCCCCTGCCAGATATGAGCATGGCAGAGGGGAACTTCTCCCATCTACTGTAGGTGATCGAAGATTCCTCATCTTCAAAGCTGTCGGGGATGCGGAAGTCCTCGGGTATTGAGATACAAAAGGCTACCTGGAGGGGACCAGATTCATTGGATGGTTGGGTCTCCTTCTCGATTTCTTTAACCTCGTGGGTATCCCGGTGAGGGGCGTCGTTTTTCCTGTACTTCCCGAGTCTCCCTGCCTTGATGCGAGTCTTGATGGCATCCTTCAGGTGGACGTAGTCTCTAGTGGTGTTGACAGTATTTTGTTCAGTCGGCCCCAAGCTTTACAGGGACGAGTCGAGGACGCCTGACACTACCATCCTTGAACTCAGCGTTGGAGCACTCCTCAAGAATACGCTCGCAGGAAGCGGTCAGCGGGGTATGCTCGGTGAACCGTCTGACTGGTCCTCTGTGCTCGCAAGGTTTCTCATCCCTTATCTTCTCCCCGGTCTGTCGAGAAGGTCCCGCGTCATGGTGTCGTGGGATGCTAGTTGGTCTGCGGTTCCTCGAATCACGGGCTTTGTTGGCTGCCTCTTTTTCCTCGTAGTCCATGTATGTCAGGGCTTTTTCGAGGACGGCGTCAAAAGACCTGAGGGATTCAATATCGATGGTATTTCTAAATTCAGTGTCCGGGAGGAGTCTCCTCTCGAGCAAGTATCTCTTCATGTGGTCGAAACACAAGACCTGAATGGCCTCGCAGTTGAAACAATCAATATACTCTCTGAGGGTCTCGTCGCTTCTCTGGACGATTGCCTCTAGGGAGGCCTCAGACTTCGGATGTCAACGAGATATAGTGAAGTTGCTGATGAATTGGTTTTTGAGGCTCCTCCATGAGGTGATTGGCCCGGGGGAGAGGTTCTTATACCAATCCATGGTTGTTTTCCTCAACGTCGTGGGGAACAACCTGCATTTAATTGGGCCCCAACATTGTGGTAGTGGAAAATCTCTTTAAACCTGTCAATATGGTCGACAGGATCAGCAATGTTGTCATACTCCTTCAGTAGGGGAGGCTTCTCCATTCCTTTAGGAATGAGAGCCTCCATGATGGCTTGGGATAGTGGACCGTGGGGGTCATCTTTGTCTCTTCTTTCTGGAGAGCGAGAGGGGAATCAGTTGTAGCGGCGGTCATTGTATCGGCCTTAGCCATGGGGAGGGTCCCTTGGCCGAGACTGCTTTTCTCCATTTCCCCTATTTCTTTTACGTTTAGGGGATCGTCGCTCCTTGCACGGGGGGGGGGGGGGGGGGGGGGGGGTGACAGCGCTTCTTAACAGCTTCGGGTTGGCTCCTCTCTAATGTAGGGTCTCGCCTAATTCGGCGGGGAGAAGGGCTTCAAGAGCCGTCTGGTCTGTTTCTCTGCGGGGGAGATCGGGGGAGGTCCTCGTGCCATCATGGAGAAGGAGTTCGAGAATCAGGTCTTCTATGCTTTATGGGGCCCCGACGAGTCTTCTCGAGCATCATTAATCGCTCACCCTGTGAGAAGATCATGTAATTGATCTGGTTGATTGTCGCGAACAGGGCTCTGGTCGTGGCGTCAACACTTGTAGGAACAGGGATCTCCTGATATGTATTGGGTTCATAATTCTGCGAAGGATGGTAGTCATCACCATGTGGTTGCGAGTGTGTGGATGAAGAGACGGTCAATCTGTCACTGTGGTCTTGCTCGGGACCAGCCACATCGTTGTTGTTGCTCGGGTTGTTGTCGCCAACGTTGTTGTTGTTGGGGTCGGTGCAATGGACATTTTGGTTATCGTTGACAGCTTGGTCGGCCATGACAATCAGAAAGTTGATAAAGAGTTGCTTTGGTCTTGATTGGAAGACGAGGAAGCTGGACTCACACAGTCGGCGTCACTGATCATACCTGATCAGAAGGGATTGTCAAGGTTCACGAGCTTCAAGTCGAGCAGTGGTTGAATGTGAAATGGGGGTACCTGCAAGACACTCTGATGCCAAAGTAAGGTTCAAAGTAATGGCAAGTAAGTACGAGAGTATGGGTGAATGATTGAATATCTGACCCTCTCAAGTGAGAGGGTATTTATTGTCCCCAGTGCTGGATCAATGTCTTCAGTGATAGGCCACGATGAGGCCCAACAACGAAGACTGTCAGGGTTTACGAGTGTATGGAGTCCAGCACGTGGTCTCCTCCCTGGTCAACTGCTCCGAAAAAGCAGAGAAGCTGGATTCGTTATTCTCGGAGGGAAAAATGATGACGATATAGACACATGAGTTATGTTCTCCTAGTAGACACATGAAAAAATATCTAACAGTCCTCAGTTTGAATAGCACACTTTTAAATCTTTGTAAAAACACTGGATTGAATCTCCCTAATAATGAGACAATTATCGGTCCAGTCTAAAACAATTACTTTGCAAATGAAGGAGGTTAAATGGAAGAGATTAATAAGATTGATTATGCATATAAACATTTATTAATACCAAGTTTTCAAAGGATGGAGTATTTATCTAGCTGGAGACATAAGTTCATTATTGCCTAAGGTGTCCTTATATGATTCATGCACTTAACATATATGTCCGTAATGTTTTTCTTTTGTTGGTCTATAACAAATGAAATGTCCCTTCTAACCAACCGTTGCATCTCACATGCCCCTAATGGCCCCACTCCAGACTGGTTCAATTATATCACTATCATTTTTTGAGAACTTACTTACCACCCACTCCACTCATTATATTAATAAAACGCTGCATAATTCACAATTTCTTAATCACTTAAAAATGTAATTAAAATTAAATAAATTACACGAAACATAAAATACTAAATTTTCTTTTTCTTTTGTTGCTATGTTCTGTGTGGCCCCATGAAGGTGAAGCTTCTTTGCCGAATAAGTTAATCTAACGGCTAGTATTGTCCATCTACCATGGGACCCACTACACCAGATCGATTCAGATTAATCAACACCTTTCCTCATTCACTTCTCTCTTTATAAATCTCTCTGCCACAATTCACAAATTTCACACACTCACATCAAAAAATGGATCGCAAAAACGTTCTCTCCATCGCATTGGTCTGCATTGTCTTCGCCGGCGTCGGAGGTCAATCTCCCTCCTCAGCTCCGACAACATCTCCGGTAACAGTCGCAACTCCCTCTGTTTCTCCCGTCGCAGCACCTTCCAAACCAAAATCACCAGCTCCGGTTGCTTCTCCAAAAGCATCAGCATCAACGCCAGCTTCATCTCCCGTTGCTGTAACCGTCACTCCAGCGAAATCTCCGGCTGCTCCAGTTCCTGTAGCCAAATCTCCCGCAGCAACACCTCCAGCTGTTGCTCCAGTCAGTTCTCCACCACCGACACCCGTTCCGGTATCTTCGCCACCGACACCAGTTCCTGTATCTTCACCACCGACACCCGTTCCAGTATCTTCACCACCAGCACCTGTTCCAGTAAGCTCTCCACCTACTCCCGCACCTGCCGTAACACCGACGGCTGAAGTTCCCGCTCAAGCTCCAACAAAACCAAAGAAAAAGACAAAGAAAGGTAAGAAACACAGTGCACCAGCACCATCACCGTCATTGTTAGGTCCTCCCGCTCCTCCGGTTGGTGCTCCCGGACCTGGTCTCGATGCGTCGTCTCCCGGTCCAGCCTCTGCTGCCGATGAGGTACATTCATACTTTACTCACTTTTTAAATCAGATCTGAAATTTACTATTGAAGTCTCAGATCTAAATTTATACTGTTTTAAAATTGATTGAAAATGAAAACGAGATCTGAATTTTTCTCATTGCTGTTTCTGCTGCAGAGTGGTGCAGAGAGCTTGAAGAAGATGATAGGAGGCTTTGCATTGGCCTTGGCTGCCATTGTTTTTATCTTCTAGAAAAGAGGCTTCATTGCTGTTGTGTTATTATTACCACTACATTCATTTATGTATCATTTATTTTCTTTTTTTTTTTAAGCCTTTTCATGGGCTAACATTAAATTTATTTACTATTGTTTTTTTTTTTTTTCTTTCTTTGAAACTCTTATTATCCTGTTATTATATTGACGAGGTTTTTGCCATGTGAAAGATAGTTGGGTTTCTTTTTTACCTTGCCATTCTTTGAACTTTGAAGGTAGTAGGTAAGCACCGACAGGATTTTGCCTTAAATAAAATAATAACTATATGGTGAGGCCTAAACTTAAATAAAATTATGGATAATTTATCCTAATCTTACCAAAAAGAAATTTTATCACATCAAACTATTTTTTAAAATTAAATATTAACTCAAAATTTCAAGATATTAAATTTATGTTTTTTTTTAATTATAAAAAGTTTAATATAATCTCTTTTATCTAATGTGAGAATCATAACTCATGTTTGATATATCAATATCTTATTATTCAAAAATTAAATTATATATTATTTTTTTAATTATATGGTTTTATATTAATATATAATTTAAAATTTTTATTTTATAAATTTTCTTTAAATTTAAAGGGTAACTAAGAATTTACCTAATTATATATTTATACAAAAAATTGAATCTAAACACTTTCATTTGAAAAAATAGTCAAATTGAAATAGACATTTAATGAAGTTTATTTTTTATCATATAATGCATGCTCCTAGATTGTTTAATTATAGAGGACAACAAGTGGCAACCATATCAGACATTTTACAACACTTATATTGTTTTTAAACAATTGTAGTTGCCACATTTTGGTATATTTAAATTCATTTATATTTAATGGCTAACACATATGTAGTTACATATAATATTGAGAACATTTTCAAATTCAATATTGATTAGAGATGGAGTTTTGAAAGACTTTATATAAAGAAGTCTCATTCTTCATGTCATGTTAAGTTAACTTGGTATTGTGTAAGAACATCATATTAAATGATGACACGTGTTTGAATATGTATCTCATTTGTTCACATTTAAATGATAAATTTTATTCATTATACTTGACAAAAAAAAGTGTCACCCTTCATTTTATATATTTAGTAAAGTTGAGTTAGATCAAATTTAAATATGATATCAGAGTCTACAAATCATATATGAACTGTCTATCATTTATATTTACGTACCAAATTCAAAAGAGTGTTGGATGTCAGAGAGTGTATTAGAATCATGGTGCATATTATTTATATTCACGCATCAAACTCAAAAGAATGGTGGACACAAGGGGTGTATTGGAAAAATCTCAAATCACTCATTAGTTAAAGGTATAGTTTTGAAATTGGATTCAAGGAAAATATCATAAAGATTCGTCTTCTCCCAAACCTTGATAGCTCCTTTCCCTTTCAAGATACGCATCCATGCATGCTTCTTGGTTTGACTTCTAATCTATCTAGTCTCTCTATCCCTGCTCATTGGGTGTTTTCTCCTCCTTGGACTTTCTAAGAGGATTTTCAAAGATAGTCTCTAGATTTTCAAGAATGTCTGGCTCTCCCTTAAAGTCTGGAACCCTGCTACTAGGTATTAAGATATGCAATTTGGGATTGTCCCCATATGGTTCAATTACGTGGCATTCTTCCTAAAAACAGAACTCCTCAGATGGATGAAAAAAATAGATTCTAAGATAGGGAAGACCCTAGAATATCTACCTCTTTCCTAAGCAAATTACCATTGTCAAAACAAAGTTCTATTTTATATCGAAAAACCCTTGAAACCTGGAATTCACATAGGAAACAAATAAGAATGAGCCTATTGGGTTAGCTTCACATATGAACTGATCCCTAATTCTGGCATTATAGGTGATATTGAGGAATTTTGTCTGAAAAGGGATGTTAAAGAACCAAATCCAAACAATAGAAATCCCTTTGGACCATGACTCAGATCAGTCGAATTTGACAAGAGAATCAAAGATCCTACAAATAAGATGTTTAACAGTAATCCTATGAACTCTACCAGCAATGGAGATTTCGGTCCTATCTTTGAAGCTATGTTAAGAAACTGGGCAAAATCTTCATCGTCAAATAACAATCTTAGAAAAACTTTCGCAAAGCAACATGATACGAGATTACAAGGATGAAGAGGAGGAAATTCATCACAATAAACACAAAAGTACAAAAGTCCAAGGAAGCATGTTCCTAATCTCAAGCAGAAACAAAGTGGAAGGCTCACTTCTATGGACCAGTCGGGAGCCATGAAGATCATTAGTTGGAACTGCTGAGAGTTAGGAAACCCCCGAAAAAATAGAGCCTTAAAAAGATTGTCTAGATGAAAAAACCAACATAGTATTCCTCTCATAAGAAAATCTCCAATTTATCACCTTTAATAAGTGTTTCTATCATTTTTCTAACGCTCTGCCTCCATAAACTTATGAACATACCGCTTTGGTTATTGAAAATTTTGTATCATTGATGTGTTTTGAAGTCACGCCATTATTATTGACTATTTCTAGTAATTTTCTATGATTTTCTTCTATTTTTTGTGTTCTAATCTTATTTTTTACTTCGTCATCCTAACTTTCATAATAAAATACACTGAAATTTGTTTGATTAGGATGTGATTTCAACTTGGTTTGGTATTTTTAATGGATTTTGAAATATTTATTCAAAACCTACAAAATAGAAAAGCATTAATAGCAAAAGAATCTAAAATTTTGAATAGTAAAAACATAGTGTGAAGGATTGTCGTCACAATTTCAAACTTCAGCCTTTCTTCAAGGAAAATGCTTGAAAATGATATTTAAAAAAAACGAGAGCTTACCCGCTTTGATGATATTTTCTAATTTAATGTTACTTACCAAAGTGTTTTCACATTTTTGTTCAATCTCCACTTCTATTCTCATATTTCAGAATGAATAATTCAAAAGCCTTTATTCTTACATTTTATCTATTCAACTTTTTCTCTCTTCTCACAGATTCATTTAAATGAAAATGTTCACTCAATTAACATGCATAAATGCTTTTATTATAGGTTTGAATTTTTTTTTAAAATTGTTTATCAAATTGTTGTTACACACACTTTTTATGTCTTAAAAATTGTAACGTGACTTGATTAAAGTACAAAAGTTTGAACTATGCAAGGTAATTATTAGAGTTAGAAATTAAATTCTCTGTTTCATTATTTTTTCTTTTTCCACATTCAACTCTTTACTGAATTCTTTCTGGACTATTTAAATTTTTTATTTTATTGATACCCATTTATTTTTGTTTTTTTATATATCTATTTTCATCATTTTTTTTCACAATCTCTTTTTAATTTATATGCCATTAGGACCATCACCAAAATTTAAAAAAATACTATTTCACAGCAACTCCAACCTTAAAAATACACTACACTTAGAATTTATTTTTAATTATTATCTATAAACTTCCTGTTAACCTAAAATATATGACATAAACCTATATTTATAAATACATACTATTCTTATTTTATAAGTTAGTTTTATAAAATTGAGATATATCTAATCATTTCAAACCAATCCCTCGTATATCTGATAGATTTCTTTATGCATGTTTTGTAAAATCAGAAAATTGAAATGTTGCTATAAATGAATCGATCTTTTGTAAAAGAAAAAAAAGCAAGCTTTGGTCATAGTAATTATTGAAATTGTCTATCCGTGACAAAGCAAATTAAATGCCATTGAAGAAAATTAATTGAGTCAGTAGAATCTGAATTTTCCTTCAGTGTTGCAGAGTGGAGCAGAACAAGATGCTTGGCATTGAGCTGGGTTACCCATGTTTTTATGTTCATTCTCATTTATTTGCTTTTTTTAGCCTTGTTCAACTAACATTAAATTTATTTACTATTGTTTTTTCTTCAAACTCTTATAATAATAATAATAATAATAATAATAATAATAATAATAATAATAATAATAATAATAATAATAATAATAATAATAATAATAATAATAATAATAGTTTATTATTATTATTATTATTATT